CATACCCGAGGGTGTGGGACCCGGAGGCCGCCAGTGGTCAGCCTGCATGGGATGTGCGATTCGTGCTGATGCCCCGACGGAATATGGTCGAAGACTGGTGTGCGGGGGTCCAGCGCGGGACAGATTGCTGGAGCGACGCCGAAACCTTTGTCGCGGTGAAGCGCCGGCTGCCGGAGCTAGATGGTGCGTGGTATTCAATTGCTTGGACTGCTTGCCTGAACTCGTTGCCAGCGCTGCATTATGTCTGGAAGCGTGCAAACCCGGAACATCCCGCTCATAGCTAGCGAGATTGTCAATGGCCGCGTGGAAACGTCTATTGACCTTCCTACCAGTTCCTACCCTTGAATTTATTTATACATGCTGTCCTTATCCTCGAACAGTTTCTTCCCCGAAATTGGCCATGCTCTTGGCGCATATTCGCTCTTCGGATCCTTGAACTCTGGGGAACTTGAAGCACCTGGTGGTTCTCGAATTAGCAGAAATCTCAAATCACGCTGATGACAACCCACCCTCAGGGCAACGCAGTGCAAACCTTGTGCCAATCCCCCTATTTCAAGCATCGTTCATTGTCATCTCATTGGTTTCGGATGCAGGAATGGCCTTGTTTTGTCCTCGCCGTGTTTGTTTTAATCTCCGGCTTTCACCTTTGAAACCGGGGGTCGATTCCCCGCGTCTCAGTTTGCTTGGTGCAATTCAATTTTTTCTCCCACTGTAGCTCATAATGGGGAGATCCCGCGCGCTTTTAAATCCGCCTCAAATATCCCAAACTTCCTGTAGTTCCCAGATAGACAACAAGTCGGACGTAGTATTTGGTACACCACCCTTGATCCTCAAGCTCTTGCAGCACAGACTTGGGATCGAAATCTGGGGTTCGATTCCCTGCGTCTGAATGCATGATCCTTCATCTCGTTTTTTTTTCCGACATGTACGAAACGACCTCAAACGTTGTGGGGCCGTAGGCTCAGATCCATTTTTCAACTTGGGAAGGTTGAAGTTGGCCCTCGGGTCCGACCCGGGTACGCTGGACCCCTCACCCTCAAACCTCCCTCGAGATGGCATCCTCCAGCGGGCCGGGACACAGATGACAATCAATCGGGCTTGGTGTACGGTCGTCCTTGGTCCAGGGCTGCCGGAGGTAGCGGTAGCGGAGGTTCAACTCCCCGCGACCGAATGTGGATGTTTGCTGGTGATTATTTCTTCTCTTAATCATCTCAGACAATCCCACACCCAACGCAGTTCCCAGATAGACCAGAAATCGGACATTGTGTAGGGTACACCGCCTCCGTTCGTTGCTCGTGAGATGGACGACCACAATCGGAGGTAGTTCGGCGTTCGACTCCCTGTGTTCGAATATCCGAAATGGATGGGCATAGCTTTTTTTTTCAATGCTCCTGTAGCACTTCCAAGGACGAAGAATCATATATTGAACGCCTCAGCATGTCCTGCTGATGGAACTTCGTCCGAGGCAACTCGATCGCGAGTGGCGGTTCCACTGCTGTCCAAGTTTCTGCACGGCAACCTTTTGAGAATTTGCCCCGCAAAAGTGCAGGGAGGAGCAAGTCCAGTCATAAGTAGGGAAATCAGATATGGTGTACGGTTACATCGCCTCTATCGATAAGTGGTAGTTTTTCAACCCATTTGTCGGAGGCAGTCCGGGGTTCGACTCCCTGTGTCTGAGTTTCTGAGTTCCCTACATTTTTATTTCTTTTTCAGACTCGCCTCAAAAAAAATCCTCCAGCTCCCGGATACGAGATGAATTGGTGCATGCTGCACCTCCATCCCTGAACGGCTGTGGGAGCTCAGGTTCAGTGTTCAACTTCAAGTTGAAGTTGAAGTTGAACTTCCACATCCGACTCAGAATGAGCCGCGAGCTTTCCAACGTCCCTCGAAATGGCATGCTCCAACATGTACAGACCGGGATCCAGATAGACAAGAAACCGGTGTACTGCGTCCTTGGCCCAGAACTAATTGTCGGAGGCAGTCCAGGGTTCGACTCCCTGTAAGTATCCGAATGGATAGGTGGCAGTGGTTATTATATTAGAGACGTTGCGCAAAGCTGCATGCGGCTTTTTTGGGGGCAAAGTGAAATTGCCGCCAACACTGCCGCCCTGCCGCCAAGGGCGGTAGTGGCGGCAGTGGGGGGCGGCACTCAAATTTTGTTAGATAGCATCTGGCCGGGGTCTTGCCTACACCATCTTGCACTACATTGTGGTGTATTAAATACAGTTAATAACATGTATTTGGACAGTAAAGTATACCCCAAGGCGAAAAGTTGAGCTTAAATTGGACTGGTGATGGCGGCAAAGGGCGGCAGTTTCACTATTTCTGGGGGCGGCAGTGGCGTCAAAGGGCGGCAGTGGGGGCGGCAAAGGGCGGCAACAGGGGCGGCAATGGGGGCGGCAAATGTCTGCGGGGGCGGCACTTTTATTTTTGGGGGGCGGCAGTGGGGGCGGCAATTCAACTATTACGTGACAAATGGCGGCAGTGTGACTGTATGTGACAGCGGGCGGCAATGGGCGGCAAGGGGCGGCAGTTTTCACAAAAATTATGGTTGGCAATCATTGCATTTTGAGGTGTATTTATGTCTTCTTAGCCCTCCGAGCTTCACAAATGTCATAAATTTGCATTTATGAACTCGGTCTGCGTGCAAGTTACGATGCACAAGAAAAGGTCTAAGTGAGCCGTTTAGTTGTTACGTGTTGTATAGCTCTCACGACTCGCCCTTTCCTTCACAGGTATCCTGGCTGGGTGGAGTTGGATTCAGAGGGAAATGAGATTTAAGCCCGAGGTTTTAGCTTATATTATACAGAACATTTTCGGGCAGGTATAATCGCCTCTAAGTATGTGATAAAGACACCTTGATAATAAACGAAGTCAGATGTATTATAACATATATCTGTATTTCAAATGTTTGCAGCGGCAGCGTGACAAAAGTGCCGCCCCTGAGGGCGGCACTGGGGCGGCACTTTGCACGCGCGGGGGCGGCACTCGGGGGCGGCAGGGGGGCGGTGCTGGCGGCACGGCGGCAGTATTGGCGGCACTTTCACCGTGCCCCTTTTTTGGTGCGCAAACTCATCACATGCGGCTTTTTTTTTCTTTGCTCTGGTGGTCAAAAGAGGCTATTTGTGATGCTCCGGAGCAAAAAAAGGATATTCCCGCGTGCGGCTTTTGCGCAACGTCCCTATTGTTTTTCTTCTTCTTGTCTTCTTTAATCATCTCAGACAATTCCCCACCCACCCCAGTTCCGAGGTAGACCGGAAATCGGACCTTGTGTAGGGTACACCGCCTCGATTCTTTCCAATGAACCGACGTCGGAGGCAGCTCGGGGTTCGACTCCCTGTGTCCGAATAGAGAGCACGGCTGCTTTTTTCTTTCTCGATTTGGCTGCAAGAAAACACACTCGTAGCGGTTCCTAGGTAAACGAGAAATCAGACATCGCACAGCCTATCCTTTTGGTTGACGTTCAGCGAGGCAGCTCGAGACTCGGGGCTCCGGTGCTATCCGAATCAATGCACACAAAACCGTCTGAGAATTTGCCCCACAAAGCGCAGGCAGGCGCAGGTCCAGTCATAGGTAATGAAATCAGACATGGTGTGCGGTTACACCCCTCTATCAATATGTAATGAATTGTGTTTGTCGGAGGCAGTTCGGGGTTCGACTCCCTGTGTCTGAATGTGCCGGCTGGTTTCCTGTTTTCTTGCTTTTTGCGGTTGGCCATCCATTCTTGAAGCGGTTGTAGGCCGGAGGCAGCTCGGGTTCAATGTTCAACTTCGGAAACGGTGGAAGTTGAACTTCCCACGTCCGGCTCAGAATAAGCTGCCCTTCCAACCTCCCACGAAATTGAATGTGCCTCGTAAAGTCGGAGGTAGTTCGGGGTTCGACTCCCTGTGTTCGAATATGTGGATGGCGATGGTTTTTTTTTCTTTCTACTTGGCTGTAGGAAAACACACACTGTAGCGGTTCCGAGGTAACGAGAAATGGGACATCGCACAGCTTATCCTTCAGCGAGGTAGCTCGAGACTCGCAATCAGCGCACACAAAAACTCTGGAGAATTTGTCTTGCGAAAGTGCATGCCACAGGAGCAGCACATTTGAGAATTTGCCGGAAAAAAGTGCGTGCGTGAATAGGTCCAGTCGTATGTAGAGAAATCGGACATTGTGTAGGGTACACCGCCTACGAGTCGTAAAGTCGGAGGTAGTTCAAGGTTCGACTCCCTGTGTGCGAATAAGCGGTACAGCGATCTTTTTTCTCAATTTGGCTGCAGGAAAGCGCGCACACCTGTAGCCAACCGGTAGCAAATCCGAGGACGAGGAATCGGACATAGTGCACATTGAGTGTCTCGGCTTGTCGTGCTGGCTGAGGTTTGTTCCGCGACACAGCACATGTAATGCGTTCGAGAATTTGCCCCGCAAAAATGCGTACACGGGCAGGTCCAGTACTAGGTAGAGAAATCAGACATGGTGCACGGTTACACCGCCTCGGTCCTTGCTGAATGACCGCAAGCTAGTCGGAGGCAGTCCGGGGTTCGACTCCCTGTGTCTGAATGTGGTTACTCCCTTCGCTTTTTTTGTATAGCGGATTCTCAGAGTCCGCGCACGGCAAAGGTGAGACCGAATATTCCCCCGCCATGAGCGAACCTGGGCGGAGGTGCTCTGCCAACCAGTGCGGACAAGCAGTTTAAGTTGAGTTCTTGGACGGCTGGGGTCTGAAGAATTGTGGTCGGCAATGGTCTGACTCGGAATGAGCTGCGTGCTTCCAACCGCCCACGAAATTAATATTGCATGCTTCAACAGACCGGGACCCAGATAGACAATAAATCGGGCGTGGTGTGCTCCTTTGATCCTTCGTCTAGAACTAATTGTCGGAGGCAGTCCAGGGTTCAACTCCCTGTGTCCGAATGGCATGGCTGTGGTTATCGTTTCTTCTTCTTCTTGTTCTTGTCTTTTTCAACTGCCCCAGGAAATCCTACACCCACTACAGTTCCGAGGTAGACAGGAAATCGGACATGGTGTAGGGTACACCGCCTCTTTCCTTGGAATACAAGGTCGCAAAGTCAGAGGTAGTTCGGGGTTCAACTCCCTGTGTTCGAATGATGAGAGAGCAAACAGCTTTTTTCTCTCTACTTGGCTGCAGGAAAACACACACTGTAGCGGTTCCGAGGTAACGAGAAATGGGACATCACACAGCTTATCCTTCAGTGAGGTAGCTCGAGACTCGCAATCAGTGCACACAAAAACTCTGGAGAATTTGTCTTGCGAAAGTGCATGCCACAGGAGCAGCTCATTTGACAATTTGCCGGAAAAAAACGCATGCATGAACAGGTCCAGTCGTATGCAGAGAAATCGGACATTGTGTACGGTACACCGCCTCTATCCTTAACCCGACTGTTGGGAAGTGACAGTTGCACACAGACTCGCAGACACGGGGATTTCAGGACGACAGGGACTCTCTGTTGCAAGGTAAAGTAATGGTCGTATATAAAGTAATCTAAAGCTGTAGAGTGCTGTTACAGGATATACTGCAGTACAAATGCTGTAGCAGGTGCTGTAGAATAGCTGTAAGTTGGACAGCTTCACAGCTGTTGAGGATGCGTGACTGGTCCATTTCAACACCGACCAGTCGTAAAGTCGGAGGTGGTTCAGGGTTCGACTCCCTGTGTGCGAATAACCGGCAAAGAGCCTTTTTTTCTCAACTTGGCTGCAGGAAAACGCGCACACCTGTAGCTAACCGGTAGCAGGACCGAGGACGAGGAATCGGACATAGTACACATTGAGCATCTCGGCGTGCCGTACTGGTTCCTCAGAGGTTTGTTCTGCGACACACTTCGAGATTTTGCGGGGGAAATGAGCTGCGTGCTTCCAACCCTCCCATGAAATTAATTTAAGATTGCATGCTTCAACAGAGCGGGACCCAGATAGACGACAATCAATCGGGGTTGGTGTACTCCTTTGATCCTTTGTCTAGAACTAATTGGCGGAGGCAGTCCAGGGTTCGACTCCCTGTGTCCGAAATCCTCAGTGGTTATCGTTTTTTCTTCTTCTTCTCGTCTTTTCAACCGCCCCAGAAAATCCTACACCTACTGCAGTTCCGAGGTAGACACGAAATCGGACATTGTGTACGGTACACCACCTCTTTCCTTACATGTTTCCATGCGTCGTCGCAAAGTCGGAGGTAGTTCGGGGTTCGACTCCCTGTGTTCGAATATTCAAATTGGAGCGAATCTTTTTTTTTCTCTCTCTACTTGGCTGCAGGAAAAAAACACACTGTAGCGGTTCGGAGGTAACGAGAAATGGGACATCCCACAGCTTATCCCGTTGGTTGACGTTCAGCGAGGTAGCTCGAGACTTGCAATCAGTGCACACAAAAACTTTGCAGAATTTGTCTTGTGAAAGTGCATGCCACAGGAGCAGCTCATTTGAGAATTTGCCGGAAAAAAGTGCGTGCATGGACAGGTCCAGTCGTATGTAGAGAAATTGGACATTGTGTAGGGTACACCGCCTCTATCCTTAAGTCGTATCCGTAAAGTCGGAGGTGGTTCAGGGTTCGACTCCCTGTGTGCGAATAAGTACCTAGCAAGTCACCTTTTTTCTCAACTTGGCTGCAGGAAAACGCGCACACCTGTAGCCAACCGGTAGCAGATCCGAGGATGAGGAATCGGACATAGTGCACATTGAGCATCTCGGCTTGCCATACTGGCCGAGGTTTGTTCCGCGACACAATTCGAGAATTTGCCCCGCAAAAATGCATACACAGGCAGGTCCAGTCCTAGGTAGAGAAATCAGACATGGTGTACGGTTACACCGCCTCGGTCCTTCTGAAACGAAAGGACAACACTAGTCAGAGGTAGTCCGGGGTTCGACTCCCTGTGTCTGAATGTGAGAATGTGGTGGTTTTTTAATATGGATTCTCAGAGTCCGCGCACAGCAAAGATGAGGCTGAGTATTCCCCCGCCATGAGCGAACCTGGGCGGAGGTGCTCTGCCCACCAGTGCGGACAAGCAGTTTAAGTTGAGTTCTTGAACGGCTGGGGTCTGAAGAATTGTGGTCGGCAACAGTTGGTATGGCTGTTCTCATTACTTGCCGTCTGACTCGGAATGAGCTGCGTGCTTCCAGCCTCCCGACGAAATTGCATGCCTCAACAGACCGGGACCCAGATAGACGACAATCAATCGGGCTTGGTGCACTCCTTTGATCCTTTGTCTAGAACTACGTAACTGTCGGAGGCAGTCCAGCGTTCAACTCCTTGTGTCCGAATGGAATGGGTCGCAGTGGTTATCGTTTTTTCTTTTTCTTCTTCTTGTCTTTTTCAACCGCCCCAGAAAATCCTACACCCACTACAGTTCCGAGGTAGACAGGAAATCGGACATTGTGTAGGGTACCGCTTCTTTCCTTGAACATGCGTGGTCGCAAAGCCGGAGGTAGTTCAGGGTTCGACTCCCTGTGTTCGAATAATCAAATTGGAGTGAACCATTTTTTTTCTCTCTATGTGGCTGCAGGAAAACACACACTGTAGCGGTTCCGAGGTGACGAAAAATGGGACATCGCACAGCTTATCCTGTTGGTCGAGTTCAGCGAGGTAGCTCAAGACGCGGAATCAGTGCACACAAAAATCCCGGAGAATTTGTCTTGCAAAAGTGCATGCAGGAGCAGCTCATTTGAGAATTATGCCGGAAAAAAGTGCATGCGTGAACAGGTCCAGTCGTATGTAGAGAAATCGGACATTGTGTAGGGTACACCGCCTCTATTCTTAGGCCGACGAGCAATAAAGTCGGAGGTAGTTCAGGGTTCGACTCCCTGTGTGCGAATGACTGCGTAGGACCACTTTTTTCTTAACTTGGCTGCAGGAAAACGCGCACGCCTGTAGCCAAGCGGTAGCAGATCCGAGGACACGGAATCGGACATAGTGCACATTGAGCATCTCGGCGTGCTGTACTGGTTCCTCAGAGGTTTGTTCTGCGACTATAAAACCTTTTTTCGTCAGAAATTATGTACAATAGTAGTCGAACAAGGGACAGTGCACATCTACAACTCAACCAGGACATGTACAGCATCAATGAACTGGAACAGTAGTAATTTACAAGTTGCACGACACAGCAACCATGTTATTGTACAGTGTACTGTGTATTCTCAACTTGCAACATTGTCCTAAGGAACAGTCCACTCTCCATTGACCACTTCTCACTGCGTACACAACAGAATTGTACATCAACAGAATCAATGTACAGTCCACAGTACAAATATGTACAGTCCATATGCAACAAGTGGTTTCTAAGCGACCCATGTATTTTTATCAATCCCATCTGACCCTTGGGTGGGTTGGTTCATCAATCCCAATGCAACCGTGGGACCTTCTACGAAAACCAGTAGTTACAAACATCAACAAACTTAGGGAACCACCATCAATCCCACACCCAACGGTGGGTCTGCCCCCACCCCCAATGATGTAACCCTTGAGAAACCATCTCACACCTAAAGCTGGGCTATTTTACAAACAATTCCGCAATCTCGTCTCAAACCACAACCAACCCCTTTGAATGGCCCTTCCCTCACCTGCCACAAGTTTGCTGGATGCCTTCAGGCTTCATTATAATCGCTTTCAAGATGCTGTTACCGCCATAATCCAGACACCGACTGATGCTGTTGTAATTGCCAGGCTGGGTGATGATTTGGATGAATATATCCAGTTGGTGGAGCAGGTAGGCGGAAATTAAATCCTTCATGACATATGTCTCAATGCCCAGTAGAACACCGGAATCTTTGAGCCACTCGAGCTTCAAACAATTCAAACAAGTCTTGTTGCTATGCAAACCGATGTGCGGCTGGAATACCGGGATGCAATCGATGCATCCCATAATGGCCGCCCCACGGTGGTGCAAACGATAGCAACAGGTACCGTTGGGCGGCCTAGGATTTATATTGATCCAGACTTCCTACGCTGGGCATACTCGCAACGATCGACTGCGAGCATACACAGGTTTCTTGGTGTCTGCCGAAACACGGTCCGAACTGCGCTTCTTGAGAATGGCATCTCAACCCCACAGTCTAACCCCTTCCCCAACAACACATCCTCTGAACCTCTCATTCATACGTCGGGCCGGTGCCAGTAATTACTTGGATGGCGACGATGACGACCTTCTGGATCCCGTGATACCAATCCCAGCCCACCTGCCACCAGACGTTCAAGATGAGGGCATTACCTCTTACACAGGACTCCTCTCAGATATCTCGGACAAGGATCTGGATTCCCTGATTCTTCGACTACGCTCTCACTTTCGACGGGCTGGTCTTGGAATGCTAGATGGAATGTTGCGCCGCCTTGGGCATCGCGTTCCGCAGGAGAGAGTCAGACAATCCCTCTTTCGAATCGATCCAGTCCGTCGAATATTTGAGCGGATTCGCATCCGGCGGCGCATTTATTCAGTTCCGGGTCCAAATTCCTTGGTTCACCACGACGGTCAGCATGGTGAGCTCCCTTGCATTTCTCCTTTATATTTCATTCGGAAACTCAACCATTTCAGGGTTGATTCGGTGGAGTATCGTCATACATGGCTTTATTGACGGATATTCTCGACTCATCACAGGCTTACGGGCCAGTGATAACAATCGGGGCGCAAACCGTTTTAGATGTTTTTCTTGCCGCTTGTGCGGAATACGGTGTTCCATCTCGAGTACGTGGAGATCACGGGACCGAGAATTTGTACGTTGCAGCATGGATGGAGACTTACCGCGGAGCTCGGCGTGGATCATATATTTGGGGAAGGCAAGTCGAACTTAATGAAGTCTTCAATCTAGTCGCTAACATTTATCTGCAGGAGCGTTCACAATGTCCGAATTGAACGTCTTTGGGTTGACATAACTGCCCAATTGGGTGCAACATGGGCCGAGCGCTTCACCATTCTCGAGCTTCGTCACGGACTAGATATCAACAACATCAGCCACATTTGGCTCCTCCACTTCCTCTTCTTGGCTACAATCAATAGCCAGCTCGCCTTCTTTGCTCAGAGCTGGAATCAACATCGGATTCAGATTCGGCATGGCCCCAACCGTTCTCCCGCTGACATGTTTGTGTTTGACATGCTCGTCAACGGTGT